TTGGCTTCCCTCGCCGCCCTCCATCGGGCTCCTGCACTTGGCACATCATTCTCACCCTCTCCGCTTTTGCTCGCCCCCCCCCCCCCTCCCTGGCGGCCACCAGTTCGCCAGCCTCCTGCCGAGCGAGATCATGTCACATCCCGTCTACCGGGCGGACTTGCTGCGCATCTCGGCGACCAGCGCCCAGTCCGACAACGCATGGATGTGCCCCAGCTTCCGGCCCTCGAATGTCGAGTACTTCATGTCGCCGGCCGACGATCCAAGCCATGCAGTCCGGCCGAGTGGCGATGCCATGGCCCTGGCCTCCCTTCGACAGGAGCCGATCGATGCGTACTTCAGCGCCCGGCAGCGAGCCCGTGCCGCCGGCACCGTCCGTACAGATATACTACCGGGAACAGGGCCCGCGAAGCCCGTCGACCATGTCGCCGAAAAGGACCCCCCCCCGTCGGTGGATCGTATCCCGACAACCGTGTTTGGCGATGCTCGGCCGGTGCGACTGCGGTCAATCAGGCTGTAGGGGGCCCTTTGCTCGCTGAGCCTTCTCTTCGCGAATCCAATGTACCACAACCAATGTCGTTCACTTTTAGCCTCCCTCTCCCCTCCTCCGCCCTCCCGGATGCGGCAACAAGCCTGATTAAGTTCCCTCCCGACTATTCCCTTGCATGCCTCAGGTGAACTATGCGATCTATTGTGTGTGTGGGGGGTATATCTTTTAGGGGCACCGAACCAGGGCAATTTTGGACGTGAGCGCGCATGTGTGTATGTGTGCTTTCAGTGTACATGCTCATGGACACACACACACACACACACACACACACACGCTCATGCGCGCAAGCATGCGCACTCGGGAACATATGCACCAGTGGCATGGGCCAATCAAATGTCGTCACCGAGATCCAGGACGACAGTCTCGCCGTCGCGGAAGGCAGGGAGACCGCGATACGGACAGCCGGCACAGCGGAAAGCGTCACCCAGGTTACACTGAGGGGGAGGGAGGATTAGAGGGGAGGGCCAGGAGCATGGGCAAGAATCGGCAAAAGCATACGCACGCTCCCGCAAGAGGAGTTGGCCACCGGCATGGCAGCCTTCCCGGTCTTGGCATCCAGGATGGTCGGCTTGAAGGCATCCGTGGCACCGGAGTCCTCGGCCTTGATACGGGCCTGTGGCAGCGCGTGGAGGTGTCACCAGTCAATGTTGGTCCCGATGGTAAGATACGATGAAACAAAGATGCGCGTGGGGGCGCGCGCGCGCGCGCGGCAGGTGCCCGGAGAGGAGGGGCGTGGCAAGAGGCGGAAGGCCAAGGTGGTCGTACCAGCTCGTCAGCGAAGCCACAGGAGCAGTCGGCACAGGCGCGCATGACCGCCGGGCCACAGGAGTCCTCCTCCGCGGCAGCGGCCGGGGCGTCGTAATCCTGCTCCTCCAGAAGGGTGCTCTCATCAATGAGGTCCTCCTCCTCGTCGGCGGTGGCAGTCACCGCCTGGCGGTCCTTCAGGGTGAGGGCACCAACAAAGTCCTCGGCCGGGCGGGTGGCAGTCACAGCAAAGACACCCTCGCCAGCGGGGGACACCTTGACGTCGACAAAGCCGGCGATCACGAACTCCGCATCAACGACATCTGCATCCGGAGCGGCCACGACAAAGTGGCCCGGGGTGCCAGGGGTGGCCTGGTCGAACTGGCCAGCGACATCGGCAAGGGGGATGCTGTTGGTGGTCATGCTTAGGGGCTTGAGACACGAAAGGGAATATCCGCCAGGGATATGGAAAGTGGGCGAAAGGGGGCGAAAGTGGGGGAAGGCAAGGGGGATTGGGTGTTGCCCTCCTCCTATGCCGAACGCACCCAAGAGGGCTGCATTTTGGCATGATGCCTGAACCAGGGATATAGATCGGTCGTGTCGGCGACACCCCCCCCCCCGGTACCTCGGGGATGCGGGGCGGCCGGGGGAGGCAGGAGCGTGGGGAACACACCTCGGCCACAACGGGGGGGGGGGGGGGGGGGGCCCGGGGAAAGAATTGACCCCGGGGGGGAATAAATGGTTGTTTTCTTTACCCTTCTGTGTGGTTTTTTGTTCTTTTTTTTTCTTTTTCTCGTGGGCCTTTTTGGGGCCTGGCCCGCTCCCCGTCCTTTTTTTTCCCCTTTTTTTTTTTTCCTCCCCCCCCGGCGGGGGGCTGGTTGCCCCCCCCCCCCCGGTCTGCGCCCCTGCTGTGGTCTTTGTCTGGGGCACTCGACGGGCAGCAAGGTTGGAGGATCGAGGCCGAGTCTTGAATACCAGCACAGGACAACTATTCCCCAATCCCAGAATACATCAGCACCTCGCTCACGATAGTCTGACGCCGCCGGGGCCTGGGCACCATTCTGGGCCCTTCTCGATCACCCCGGACCGTGGGCAGTTTCGGCACATGTCAGCCTGGGCATCTTTTGTAGCCGAGACAAGGCTTCCCCCCCCCCGATATAATACCAAGGAGGGGGGAGCGTGGGTGTTGGGGAGGGACGCACATGTTGCCACACGCACGAGGCAACACACAGGGTGGAAAGCATATTTTGTTGGGTGTATTTTTGATGGGTGCCCCCCCGCCGGCTGCTCGGTCGGATCTCACCCGCAGAGAGTCTAGGAGGATGCATGGTCGCCGGGGTGCGCGCATGCATGTGCGCACATACACATGCACACATGCGCATTACTCGAGACCGAGATACTCGGCCAGCTCGTCCCCGGCATCCATCTGCTTGAGGATGTCCAGGCCGCCGAGAAGCTCGCCCTTAACATACACCTGAGGGTAGGTGGGCCAGTCGCTGAACTTCTTCAGGCCCTCGCGCACCTCGTTGTCCTCGAGGATGTCGAAAGTCCCGAAGGCGGTGGTGTGCTTCTGGAGGAGGGCCACGATCTGGCGACTGAAGCCACAGCGCGGCTGCGCCGGGTTGCCCTTCATGAAGAGCATGATGGGCTCACGCGTGATGAGCGCGCGCAGACGATCCTCCAAAGTCTGGCCCGGGGCCGCAGCGGCAGGCGTGGGGGCCGCAGGGGCCGGGGTGGCCGCGCGGATCGGCAGCATGTCGGCCAGCACGCCACAGGCCACCACCTCCCGAAGGATGTCCAGCCCGCCCACGAGCTCGCCATTTGCGTACACCTGGGGGTAGGTGGGCCAGTCGCTGAACTTCTTCAGGCCCTCGCGCACCTCATTGTCCTCGAGGATGTCAAACGAGGCGAAGGACACATTGTTGTCATGGAGGATCTGCAACAGCTGGCGGGTGAAGCCACAGCGCGGCTTCTCCGGGGTGCCCTTGATGAAGATGGTACACGGGGCCACCGCCACCAGCTGGGCCAGGCGCTCCTGCAGCGGCAGGTTAGCCGGCACCAGATCCGCGGCATTCGGGGCGGGAGCCGGCGTGGGGGTCGCGGTGGGAGCGGGCTCAGCCACCGGGACCGAGGCCGACAGAGCCGCAGCGAACTGCTGGTTCAAGAGCTGCGGGCTGGAGCCCGACACACGGCCGACCGGGGTGGAGTTCTATGGCAAGGGTCGAGGAGCAGGTGTGAGGATGTGAGGATGTGAGGATGTGAGGATGTGAGGATGTGTGTGTGTGTGTGTCTACGTGTGTGTGTCTACGTGTGTGTGTCTGCGTGTGTGTGTCTGCGTGTGTATATGTAGATATGGGTTGCAGGGCGAGACACTGGCAGGCAGCCATCAAACGGATGGACAAGTGAGGGAGCGGGGGACGGGGGAGAGGGGAGGATGGGAGGGGGCAGGTGTGGACACACCTTGAAGAAGAGGAAGGTCGGGACAGCCTCGACGTCGAGCTCGCTCAGAAGAGCGGAGCTGGAGTCGGCCGACGCATCGAGCTGTGGTTTGGCAGTTTGCAGTGCGTCAGTTTCATTTTATGACGGGCGTGAGGCCTTTTGTCGCGCCACAAGTCACACCCACCGGGTGCAGAGGGAGCAAGTGGGGTGGATCCAAGATGAGACGTACCGTCAGGAGCTGGATGTTGGCATGGGAGTACTTGACACCGAGGCTGGCGAAAACCTTGGCCATATTCGCATGCGAAGGGTGCCAGTCAGCCCAAATGTAAATCACAACCAGCTGCTCCGGGGAGGTGGAGGACCGGAGGTGGGCAGAAAGCTCGGCCTTCGAGGCGAAGGAGACTGCAATGGGAACCATGGTGTCGGGTATGGGGGAGCGGAAGGGGGAGGGGGAGACGGGTAGGAGGAGGGAGGGGGCTGTGGTATGGTCGAGAGGTGATGCCACACAGACGGGGTCTCACGCCGCCCCTTCAAAAGGGTCCGCACCCGCACCCGCTCATCCCCCCCCCCCGCCCCTCCACTCCGCCTTTGGGTTACTTGATCAGAGATCCCGACTGTGCTTCTCCGCCATTAGACGGGTCTTGTAATGCCACGTCTGGTTCTGAAGATGGTAGATCACGCTTAACGGAGAAATGGCACGTGGAGATCTTGCGGGCGCCCTCCGGCGGGATGCCTCGTGGACCGGTGCAACACGATGCCCCCCCCCACCCCTCCACCACCACCTTGGCCACCGACTCACCCGTCCTCTGCTCGCACCCTTCCCTTGTTCTTTCTTCGGTGGTGGTGTCCGGTACGGCCTTCTTGGCCAGCTGAGTTGGCGACAAAAGAAAAGCCCCCCTGGCCGAGCCCGCTGTCCCTCCGGACATTTGTTACTTGCCTTCCACCCCCCCCCCCCCCCCCCCCACATCCCTTGACCTTGCCCGCCTTCCCGCGGGCTCCCTTTTCGCCCCCCCCCCTCTTCCTCTCCCCTTTTTCGCCTGGTCCTCCTCCTCGTTCTTCCCCTCTCTTCTTCTCCCCCGCTAGCAACCCAGGTTTCCTTTCCCTCCCCCAACACCCGCTGCTCCTTTCCTCCCGATGCTGCGGCTGGCCGCGCTCACTCGCCGGTCGGCTCCCCTGCCGCTGGGAGTCGCCCGGTACTCCGGCCGGAGCCGTGGCGCCCGGTCAGCAGCCAACGGCACCAACCCCGCGGCCAAGGCGGCCGCGGCCTTCCCGGGGACTAGCTCCGACGAGGAGAATGCCCCTCCTGTGGATGTCCGGTTGAATTCCTTCCTCCGAGAGCAGGCACGCGACCCCGCCACGGCCGTTGCCTTCGGCGATGACTTTGACCCTTTCGATTTGAGCAGCTCCGACAATGATTATGGGCATCCCTTCGCGGGTGACTCCGACTCGGAGATGAACACCCTTTCCCCGGAATTCATCCGTTCCGCCCTGGAGCATGAGCAACGCCAGCTGTCGGCAGCCGGTGCCGGGTCTCTTGATAGCCTGTTGAAGGGTCCCCGATTGGGGGGCGAGCGGCCGGATCGTCGAATCCGCTCGCGCCGGGGCAAAATCAACCGGCCCTACAACCGCCAGTTCCCGATGTACGATGTGGATCACATCCTGGCCAATGGCGAGCCCTTGCTCCTGCCCCGGGAGACCCGTGCACAGGCTCTCCGTCGGACGCAGCTCTCGGAGGATCTTTACGCCATTGAGGAACTCAAGGATTTCTTCGGCGTGGAGCGCATGCTTCGGCAGCTGCCGGACCACGCGGCCGATGGTCGGCCCTTCAACCGCGTCCAGATGCTGATGTATGCCCAGGAGTATGACAACCCCTCGCATGACTTCGCCCTGCGGCAGCTTTTCAGCCGGGACACACTGCCCCTGGGCCCTGGCGAGCTGGAGTCTGCCCTCACTCCGGAGCAGTTGGCCCTGCGTGTGTACAACTATCGGGATCGCATGCGTGCCGAGCACAAGAATTTGGTGCAGCTCCACCAAATCCGCATGGAGTCCTCCAACATGCCGTACTTGCCGAAGTCCCTGCGACCCACTCTGGACCAGGCGCCTGGCCAGTCTGACCGGGCGCGTCGAAGCCAGGAAACCGAAAGCGATCAGGCCCTGATCAGCGCCCTGCAGGCCACCCTGAAGGACTACACGCCCAGCACGCGGCGTCTTCTCCGGGATCTGATCTTCGCCGTGGATGGTCGCCTGGCCGAGGAGGACAAGCGTCGAATCCAGATCTTCATGCACACCAACCCGGACTTCTTGCACAAGGTCTTCACCTCGCTGTCGATTGCGTCCCAATCTTCGCTCGATAGCACCGAGGGTCTCTTCCGTGATGCGCCGACGGAGATCGGGCTGAATAAGCCGGAGGTGGCTCCGGCCGCGGAAGACCCCAAGCCCAGCACGACGGCCGAGGCTCCGGCCAGTGTCCCGGATGCGGAAAGGCCCGAGGGCGGTCGTCGCGGTCGCATTCGCAACACCTCCAACGCCGCGGCAGCGGCCAATCGCCAGGCCGAGGCCGAGCGCCAGCGCCTGGCCGAGGAGATGGAATTCCGCGAGGCCCTCCTGCCGGGCCGGAGTAAGCTTCAGCAAATGCAAATGCAGCAGCTTGCCGCCGCTTCGGACACCTTCCAGGAGCTCCGAGATCTCGAGCGGGATCCCGGCCACTATATGGCCGAGGGCAAGTCCCTCGGCGCGATGGATGACCCTGACCATCTTGACCCGGCGAAGGTGGCCCGGAAGCTGCACTCCGAGGGTCGCCCGGTGCCTCGGCACATTCTCCTGCAGTTGGACAGCTTCCCCGAAGATCCGGCTGCCTTTGAGCGGGCCCGAACCGAAGACCAACTTGAGTACATGAACCTGGAGGATGATGATTTCAGCCTGGCGGGCAATTACTCGGATGATCCCTTGATGGAGACTCCCTTCTCCGATGAGGACCTCAGCTTCTCCGATGACGATGGGGACTTCTTTGATGAGGCCTCCATGAGCAACCTCTTCTCGGCCGGAGGCCGATCGGAAGTCCGGCGGAAGAAGCACGCCGCCAATCGAGCCGCCTACGATGCCACCATTTCCCCGGAGGAGAAGGAGCAGCTCAAGCATCGGGCTCTTTTGACTCAGGTTGCCAAGAATGAGGCTCGTGCCCGCAAGCAGCAGCTGATCGAGATGCTGGCCGTGGCCCCGCCCACTCCAGAGGAGGAGGCCAAGCTCGAGCGTGTCACGCGCATCCGGGCCATGCAAGTCCCCCGGCTGGTGACCCCTCTGCCGGAGGGGCTGGACATGGACACCCTCTATGGGCAGGGCGGCCATCCGGCCATCATGCGGGGGTACATTCAGGAGACGGACTTGACCCTGCCGCCGCCGAATGACCCGGAATGGACGGCCCTCGATGACCCGGCTGCCAAGCACAGGGCCGATCCGATGGCCACTCGGCTCCTGGGGGATGACTCCTTCTCCTCGGTCCGCTCGAAGAAGCTGACCCCGGTGGGGCAATATGCCAATTTCTTTGTCGGGCTGATGCGCCTGCCGGTTGAGCTGTACAAGCCCATGCGTGAGATTCTCAAGTGTGCGTCCTTTCCGTGGTCCTTCTCCTTCCCCTTCTCGCCCTCTTCCTGCGTCCCCCTCCTTCCCTGGCGCTGGCCCTTCCTATTTGGGTCCTCCCTCTCCCTTCTCTCCGGTCAACTGACCCTGTGATGCCGTTCTCTATCTCTCCCCCCCCCCCCACCCCCCCCCTCCCCTCCCCCTTGTTTGCTGGATGCCTGCTCCTTGTGCCGTAGCCTTCAATCTTCGTGACTTGCAGCGTGAGCACCTTGCTGCGCGTTCCGAGGCCGACAAGTCCCGCGTCAGGCTCCCGAGTGCGAAGAATCTTCGCCTGCTGAACCTCAAGATGAACCAGCTGCTACTGCAGCAGGAGACCGCCCAGCGCCTGCTCCAGAATCCGGCCGCACCGCCCTCCGCAGGTCTGCTGCCGCCAGCCGACCAGCAGGCCGCCGTCGCAGCGCTCCCCGGGCCGGACTCGGTGGAGGTCATTTCCATCCCCGCCGGGGAGAATGGCGCCCCGACGCCCGTTGTGCGCAAGCGCCTTCGCGCGGAGGCAGCCCGGGCGGCGGAGGCAGCGGCCAAGGCCGCCGCCGCGGCCAAGGCCGCTCAGAAGCGCATTCCCGTGCCGTCTTTGGCCCCGAAAAAGCGGTACACCGACTTGCAGGTGGCCACCTACCTGGCCACGCGGTTCTCCTCCACGTACAATGTCAACCGGCGCGTCTTCAATGAGATTCGCAAGCGTGTCCCGAACTTCGCCCCGGTGTCCATGTTGGACTTTGGCACTGGTCCCGGGACGTCCATCTGGGCTGCCACGCACATTTGGCGCTCAACCGTGGACGGCTCGCTGACATATGTGGATGGCATCGACGCATCGGATACCATGTTGCGCGCGGCCCGGCGCATGCACCCGGAAAAGGTGGCCTTCAACATCATCATGCCCACCGGCCGGGAGGGCGAGAATGCCGTGGGACTGATTGACCAGCGTCGGCCGCTGCAGCTGCGCTTCCACCAGGCCCATGGCATCCCGGAGCGTTTGAGCTCCGCGGATTTGGTGGTGGCCAGTTACTCTTTGTCGGAGCTGCCCTCCTTCGAGGCGCGCCAGTACATGATCAAGCGTCTGTGGGAGCACACCAAAGACACGCTGGTCATCATTGAGCCCGGCACGCCGACCGGCTTCGACAACATTCTCATGGCTCGAGACCTGCTCATCACTGGCGACCTGCCGGGTGGACACATTCTCGCACCGGTAAGTGTTCCCGTGGGCGGCAGCTTGCCCCATTTGTCCTGCTGCCTCGTCCTGCTGTTTTTTTTTCTCTTTCGTTTCCATCTATCTTTCTCCCCTCCTCTTCCCCCCCCCCTCCCCCTGCCATGGTTCGCTGACATTCTCCTGATGCCATTTCCATTGGTCCTTCCCTCCTCCTCCTTCGCCCTGCCCCCCCCCCCCCCTGTCACCGCCTCAAGTGCCCTCATGAGGCCGAGTGCCCGATGGGTGCGGCCTCTTGGTGTCACTTCGTCCAGCGCGGCCAGCGGGTGGTGGAGAATCGCGAAGTCCGCCAGTCGCCGAACACCCTGGAGGACGAGAAATTCTCGTATCTGGTGTTGCGACGCGGCCGGCGGCCGACGGTGCCGCCTGACAGTACCCTGGTCCCGATCGAGGACGCGGCGTACTCCTGGCCGCGAATCTTGCGATCGCCCCTCATCCGCACTGGGCATGTCCTGCTCGACGTGTGCGAGGCTACCACCAAGAAGGTCCCGGCCGAGGAGGCCCCGATGTATGGCGGTGCAACTGGGAGTGGAATTCCCGATGAGCAGGGCCGCGTGGATGTCATCGATGGCCAGGTCACCCGGCGGGTGGTCAGTCGCTCGCATGGGACGGAGCTTCTGAAGGATGCGCGAACCACCTTCTGGGGTAATCTTTGGCCGCATGAGTTTGTGATCACCGCCCGGCAGAAGGCCAAGCAGGAGGCCCGTGCCATCTTCTGGGAGAATGTCACCTCGCCGCACGATCACCAGGCCATCACCTTCGAAGATGTGAGGGCTTCCATTGAGCGGGCCGTCAACACGATCGACGAGGGCCTTGTGTCGGATGACGAGCGCTTCGAGATTGAGCATGACCCGGAGGACCCGGTCAGTGCCCTGGCCGTTGAGGGTGTGCGTCGGAAGCGCGCAGCGCGCGAGCTGGCCGAGAATGGCGATGACGCTGGCGATGACGCTGGCGATGGCGATGACGCCGCTGGTGCTGGCGACCGTGCGGACGCCAATGGCCAGGACCCGGATGATGAGGATGATGTCTCTCCCGAGGAGAAGCTGGCCCGCGTGGAGCGCCTGCTGGCCGGCGAGCCGATCTACGACAACACCAGCCTGGCGTATCTCATGTATGGCGAGCAGTCGCGCTTCGCCGGCGGTGTCGGTGGCATGGGTGGCGGTATTACCCGGAGCAAGTACAACCGCGCCCTGCGCATGCTGAAGGACGCCGAGGCCGAGGAGCAGGCCCAGTTCCGTCACTTGCTCAACCAGCCGGACATGGCTGGCATGACGCCGAGCATGCGCCGGGAGCTGGCCTACGCCGAGTCTCTGGTGGCCGGCGCGGCCCGGTTCGACCATGGTCTGCTGACTGGCGAGCCTCGCCGGGAGCTGGCCGATGCGGCGGCGGCCATCGTGGCCGCGCGCAAGGGCGAGGACCTGGCCGCGCACCGTCTGGAATCCCTGGACCCCCAGGTCCTGGAGGCCAGCGTCAAGGCTCACGCGGGCAAGCCGCTGCCCCCCCGCCCGGCGGCCAAGAGCAGTGCTGCTACGGCTCCCGGCGCGTCGTCCGCACGTTGGCTGTCTGGCTCGGGCGCTGCGACGCCCAAGGTGGCCGGCTTCCGGCTTTTCGATGACGATGACGATGGGTCTGGCTCCAGCTCCCCGAAGCGTGGCAAGCCCACCTTCCGCCGGCGGAAGGGCGACACGAGCTCGGTCTTTTCGCACGGCAAGAAGAAGGACAAGAGCCCCGCCTCCTGAAGGGAGTAGCTTGGAATGGAGGGGCGCAGGAGGAGCAGGGGCTCTTTTTTTCTGCCTCCCTCCCCCTCCTCCTCCTCCTCGGCGAAGGGCCGTGGATTCTGTGTCACAAAGAAAGGCACGCGTCCATTCCCGGGGAGGGGGGATTTGGGACTGCACATGTCCTCCCTCCCCCCCTCCCCCCCCCCCCCCGCCCTTACCTCTCCCTCTCCTCGTGTCCACCCCAAGTGAAACAGGCGATTCCATGGTGGCCACGGCACCGGATCTGCCAGCGACATGGGCAAGGGGAAACTAGATCCCTCGCTCTTTTCGCTCGCTGGCATGTGTCACCTTTTTGGGCAGCCCTCCCCCCCCCCCTACCAACCTTTCTAGATCTTTTCGGGCTCTCCAATCGGATGCAGCCTCCTCTCCTGAGCGAGATGGCTTGTCTTCTGTTTCCTCCCCTCCCTCCCCCTTCTCCCTCTTTTGTGTGTGGGGGGGGGGAGGACCGCGCGTGTGCAAGATGCCCCCACTTTGCCACCCACCGGCGCGCGGGCGCTTCCCGTTCCCCCCCCCCCCCTTCCCCCTCCTCCCTATCACACAATACACAATGTACACCCCCATCCCCATCGGATACCAACGGAGCCGGCGCATATGTGCGTTGGCAGCATCCGGGCCCGTCACGCGCCAGGCTCACATGCCGCAGCCGTTGGCGATCGGCACCGGGCGCCCCGCGATCTGGCGAATTTGAATTTCTGTCGCGTAGTCTGTCCGCCCCCGCCCGCCCGCCCGCCCGCCCCGGGTATGGGCGCCGCCAGTTGGTGTGTGCTTCTGAGTGGAAGGCTGTTCGACCTGCCGGAGAGAAAATGCCTGAACGCATCAACGGGGGATTTGTGTCACCAGTCGAACAGGCCTTCGGGCGGGAGCGAAGGAGGGGCAAGACACCTCCTCCATTCTAGCCAACTCCATTTCCTTCCCTCTCGCCCCTCTCTGTCCTTCCCCTTGCCCCATCCGGCCGGCGGTGCTCCTTTGCCTGCCACCCCCACCCTCATCTCCCTCTGAGCCCCCCTCGCGCCGCCGTGGCCTGGATTGGCAGACACGACCGATCTTTGGGACACCCGATGACGCAGGGGCTTCTCACCGAGCCACCAGCCGCCACCGACCCCGGTCTGCCCTCAAATGCCGACCCCGATGGCGGTGACACGTCCTCAGTCAAGGTGGCCGTGCGCATCCGTCCTCTGGGGGATTCCGAGCTCGAGGCCGGGGCAATCAGCGTGGTAACGCGTGCGGTTCCCCGCGGCGGTGTTGGTCTGCCGGTGGTAATCAACGGGCGTGACCGGGTTTTCGCGTTTGACTATGTTTTTGACTCCAAGTGCGTGGACAGTGCTGATGCTCCCCCCCCCCCTCGCACCACGCGCCTCCTGGCATGGAAGATCTCATCCCGGTCTTCTGTTTGCCCCTTCTCACACGCCTCTCCCCGTCCGAAAGCCACTCGCAGGAGGACCTGTATGGATCCTGCGTGGCGCCCCTGGTGGAGGCCTTCATGGACGGGTATAATGCCACCGTTTTCGCCTATGGGCAAACGGGCTCCGGCAAAACCTACACCATGGGCTCGGACTCCGGGTCACTTTCGTCCATCACCGCGCCGCGGCCCTCCCAAGATGCGGCCTTTGATGATGTTGTCCTGCCGACCCACGCCCCGACCACCCATTTGGGCATCCTGCCGCGGGCGGTCTTTTCCATCTTCGAGCAGATTGACCGTCGTCGAGCCGAAGCCCAGCAGGCTGGCAGCCCGGCCCCCTCCTTCGAAGTTGGCGTGTCCTTCCTGGAGCTCTACAATGAGGAGTTCATTGACCTGCTTCAGCCACGTACGCGAGAGCTCCACATGATGGTGGCTACCCAGCGCCCCGGCGAGATGATTCGCCTGAAGGATGACCCGGCCACCGGCGGCGTGGAGCTTCTCGGAGCCCGAGAGGAGTATGTGGAATCGGCGCTGGAGCTCCTGGCATTGGTTTCCCTCGGGGCGCAGTCCCGCACGACAGCCAGTACCGACATGAATCTCGTCTCGTCACGGTCGCACGCCATCGCCAGCATCACCCTCCGTCAGAAGCGCTATGCCGGGGGGGCCGGCGAGCCGCAGACACCCGGAGCCGCCGGATCCGGCTCTGGGGCTGCCACTGTGGAGTTTATCACCAGCAAGTTTCACCTGGTCGATCTTGCCGGATCGGAACGCCTCAAGAAGACCAACGGTGCGCCATGGCTGCCGGAAGGCAAGGGGGACAGGGGGCTTTCGACGGCCCGGCTTCCCCGGCCACAGGGGTTCCTTTCGCTGCCTCTATCTATCGATACCTTCCCGACGCCCCTTCCCGCCCCCCTCCCCCGTGACTAACCGACTAGGGTGGCTTTGGCCTTCCATCGTGACAGCGGTCGGTGAGCGCGCCAAGGAAGGCATCAACATTAATATGGGCCTCTTGGCACTGGGAAATGTCATCTCCGCCCTGGGTGACGAAGCTCGGCGGTCGTCCTTCATCCCATACCGCGATTCCAAACTCACCCGGTGTGTTTGGACCTTCTTCTTTTTTTCCCCCCCCCCCTTCCCGGCTTTCCTTTCCCGCGCCTTTGCTGTTGCCCTCCGGCCGGAGCGACCCTTCCCAACTCACACCACATGGTGCAGCCTTCTCCAAAACTCCCTTGGCGGCAACAGCAAGACCCTGATGATTGCCTGTGTCAGCCCGGCCGATGCCAATGCCGCCGAGACCACCTCCACCTTGCACTACGCCAGCCGCGCGAGAAACATCAAGAATGTGGTGTCGGTGCAGCAACTCTCGGTTGGCGATGGCCCCGGGCTCGGAGCCGCGGCCGTTGAGGAGCTCTTCAGCCTTCGACGGCAGGTGGTGGAAATGCGCGCCGAACTTCGGGCTTTGAAAGGGGGCATCGGCATGCCGGCCCCAGGCCGGCCCAGTGGCTCGGGCTTCGGCATGCGTGGGTACCCCGCCTCACCGGCGACATTGATGTCGACCCTCAGTGTGTCTTCCCCCGGCGGGCCGGGTGTCCATGCCGCTGGGGCGACGGCGGATTTGTTGGCACGGCTGCAAGCTTCGGAGTCCGAGCGCCGGCGTCTGGAGGCCCTGGTTGCTTCGTTGCGCGACCGCTGTGCCGACTTGGCCCAGCAGGTGGCCCGTCTCCGGGCAGTTGAAGAGCCACACCTTTTCCGCAGCCAACAGCGCCGGCGATGTGGCAGCATCAATGATCCCCCGGCCGAGGATGACATGAGGCCAGTGGATGCCGGTGCCGGCGAGCTGGGAGGCCCGGCCGCCGGCGAGCCGACGGCACCCGAGGTGGATTGCGCCTCTGTGACAGTCCTGCAGGAGTATCTGGATGAGATTACCGAGCTGCGCGGGCGCCTGGCCATGAGCGAGGCCACGGTCGAGGACCTGCGTGCTCGGCAGGCGGCCGAATTGGAGGAGCTGGATGCCCCGTTGGCTTTCCCGCTGGATGAGCGCCCACTGGATATCAACCGTGTTAAGAGGCGTCTCCGGAAGATGGAGGTTCGCTTGGAGCCACGCCGGCTTTTCATCGCTCCTTTTTCCCCCCCTCCCTCCGCCAAAGGGCTTTCTGTTTCTAATCGTCACATGCCCCGGCGCCGTCGCTGCCCTTCTCTTTCGACAGCGGAAACTCCGCGCAGCCGAAAGCGCTGCGGAGAGCGTGGCCCCGGATACGCCCGCGCATGCTGCTCACAGCCCCACTATGATGGCCGTCGGCACAAGTCAGGCGGGGGACGAGGCCCCTGCCTCGATGGTGGTGGACGGCGAACAGCCTGCGCTCCTGGCTGGCGGTGAGGACCGCATGCCTGTCGAGCAGGGCGCCTTGGACGCGGCTTCGCTGTGCGTGGCCCCGGGGGCCGAGCCGGTTGGTGTGTCGACCCTCGCCGAGGCACCCTGCGATGTTGATGATTATGACCGTGCCACCGAGGGCAGGCGCGGCTCTGCCGCACTCAACCATGGATCCGGCACTGATGATGATGATGATGATGCTGATGAGGGTGCGGATGATGATGGCGAGGAAGACGACTCCGACGGAGAAGGGGACTGCTCCTTCTCGAGCTCGGTCAATGGCATGATACAATCGGTGCGCTCCGCCAGTGGCTTCTCCCTTTCTCCCCCTCCGGCACACATTGCCGGGCTGCCTGCATGCTCCCCTCCCCCTCTCCACCCTGTTGTTTAACCCCTTCCCTGGCTGCTCCAACAGATGGTGGAAAATCCGACAGAGAACTCCCGTCAGTTGTTGAGCCAGTTCGCCCAGATCAAGGAGGACATCATGGAGAAGGCTCAGCTTGTGACGGAGCTCGAGCGAAAGGAAGTCGAACTTTCCGAGCTCCGGTACACCTTCAGTGTGCGTGATGCTTGCTTCGCATCTTCCTCGGGCCATTTTTTGCCCCTTTCTGCCCCCGGTCTGACAGGTCATGTGTGTCACCTTCCTGCCTGGCGTCCTCCACAGGAGCGGCTGAACGAGCTGACCGCGGAGAAAAATCGCCTCATCCTCGAGCGTGACAATGCGCTGATCCGCATCAAACAGTCTGCCAAGCCCGGCGAGCAGGTTTGTTGTTTTTGCTTCGCGCCCTCCTTCCCTGCGCCCCCCCCCCCCGAGGCATGCTCCTGCTCCCCAAAATGGCGCTAACCCACCATACAGCGTGCCATCGAGGCCGAGCGCGACCGTCACGATCAGCGCATCCGCCAGCTCACCGAGCAGATTGCGGACCTTCGCTCCAAGTACCAGGCAGTATGTGCCCGCGCGGGGCTCGCCCCGCTCCACTCCTCCGCCTGATCGGCCAGACCAACCCATGCGACTTACCACTCCCCCCGCTTCTTGCCGACAAACACACAGAACCAGAAGGTCCTCCGGTCGAAGCTCAAAATCGAGGAACACATGCCGGCACTGAAGGCCTCGATTGCGACTCTCGAGCAACAGCGTCGCGACTTGATCATCAAAATGCGCGCCGAGCAGCGGGACCACCTTCGCGAGCGTCAGTTGGCCGCGCAGGAGATCAAGGTCCTGCAGAAGCGCGAGATGCAAAGCAGCGGGCTGATTGGCAAGCTCCAGCGGAATATCGAGCAAAAGGTGCGCCTTCCCCCGGCTGCCGCCCAGCCACCGAGCGCATCTTCCGCTTCTCTCCCTTCTTCCCCCGCCAAATTTGGCTCCTTTCCCTCCCCCTCCCGCCGACACTTCCCCACTCACATGCGCATGCCTACCATGTTACACCCCGATTCAGGAGGGCCAGCTTCGTCGGCGAACCGAGGAAGCCATCAGTGCCCGAGAGAAGCTTCGTGTTCTGGATCGCTCGCGATACCTCACCAAGCCGCGCGGTTCGTGGCATCTTCCTTTGCCTCTCGCCTCTTCTGTGTTTTTTTTTCTTCCACCATTTGCTTTCCCCTTCCATCCTTTTCCTATTTTGACACAATGCGTGTCTCGTCCATCGCTTCCGATGTGTCTTTTGGCACCTGGCCCTTTCGCCCGGGCAATCACAGCGAGCGAGAACATCCCTCGGATCAAGTCCAGCTTCGATGCCAAGCTCAAGGATTGGTGCGCCTCTCTCTCGATCTCCGTGCCTGCGTGGACCTTTTTTGCTTTTCTTTGCCCCGACTCACCCCCCTCCCCCCCCCTCCCCCTCCCTCATGGATAGCATCTCCCTTCGCGAGCTTGAGGCCGTCTTGTCGCGGCTAACGCAGCGGCGCAATTCGCTGGTTACTGAGCTGTCCCGCCTCCAGCGAGAGCTCGACCAGGCACCAGGCCCGGATGTGGAGGACCGGTTGCAGGGGGCTCAGCGTGCGGTCGAGGCCTCCCTGTCGGCCTGCCATTCGCGCATCACCGAAGTCCAAAACGAGCTGTCCAACCAGTATCGAACCCTGTCCGATGACCGGTCGCGCTTCCCCTCCTCGTCAGGCGCCCAGCGAGGCCTCTTTGGCAGTCCGAAGCCCTCATCCGAGAACATCGATCAGCCTCAGGTGTTCATGCCAATCATCGAGATCTACACGCGGCTTTCCTTTGTGCGTACACTCCCGGCCGATGGCGCCCGGGATGCGACTTTTCTCATCTTGAAGCCCTCTAATTACTTCTCCCGCCGCCCCCCCCCCCCTCCCCTCTCACCATCTCTACCCTTTGTTCTTGCCTCTCTCCCCTCCCTCTCTCTCTCTCTCTGTCCCCATTTGCAGCCAGCGCTTCGAGAACTCTTTAAGCTCCTGACCGAGGATCTTGTCACGGCAAGGGTCAACAACCGCATATTGGCTGCCCAGCTGGAGCAGTTCCGGCGAATGGCCGGCGCAGGTGCAACTCCTCCGGAAGCTGTTCCCACCCCTCGGCCTGCGGCAGCCGGGCCGGACATTTCGCACCTCCAGCGCAGCATCGCCGAGCAGCGCCTAGCCGTGGAGATGCGCGCATCCAAGATTGCCGCCCTCCAAGCACAGCTCACGGGTGCTGGGCCGTCCGCCAGCGAGTCGAACCTCCTGGCTCGTCCGTCCTCCGGCACACCGGCCCCGATGGCCATTGATGAGGCAATGCTGCCGGGGCTGGGTGGCCATCCAGCCAACATGTCGCCTGGACGCAGTAACAGCAGCAACACCATCACAACCTCCGCTCCCGTCAACCGCCAGACCCTCCAGCGCTTTGCCACTCTGGTCGGCCATACAGGGGGCGTGACACAGCTGGCCCTCGGTGGACACGGCTTTGCCGATGTGGCGGACATCTATGGCCCAGATGGACCGCGTCACTTTGGCGGCGATGCCGCCGGCCAGGGGCTGAGTCCCTTCGCTCGGAGCCTGGATACCCAGCTGTTCAGCTCCGGGCGTGATGGGACTGTCCGTCTCTGGGATGTGGCGCTGGCGTCCGGTGGGGCGGTGCTGGCCCAGAGCGATGGGTACGTTGTTTTCTCGGTCACCCCTCCTGCCGACTCACCCTCCTGCCCCTCCTCGCCCTTTCTCACCGTGCCCCCTTCTTCTTCTTCTTCTTTCTTTCCCTTTCCAGGCCCATCCACAGTTTGGCGGCCGTGGGGAATTTCGCCTTTTACCTGAATGACGAGGGCATAGGCTTCGTGGATGCACGGGCCCCACCGCACTCGCCTCTTTCCGGCGATGCGGATGCCTGGTCCGGGCTTCGGTGGCTTCACCGGCCCGTGACAATGGCCGTGGCGCCAGATGGCCGGTACCTCCTGACGCCGAGTGGCTTCCAGCAGCTATCCAATCCGACCGATGCCACCTTTGCCGAGCATGGGGTTGCCGTGTGGGATGTGCGCATGCGTCGGCCATTGAATGGCCTTCGTGGGGGGTTCCGCGATGCGCCGTGCTCCTTTGCCGTGGTCCCGGCCGGGGGCAATGTGATGCACGGGCTGACAGCCCGGCCGGCTTTGATGCTGTGTGCCTCGCGCGATCGCATAGTCCGAGCATACGACCTGGCCTCGTTGGATCTTGTGTCCACCTTCCACCCGCCACACCATGATGCCGTGAGCACGGTCTTCGCCGGGCCGGCGGATGCCGAACTCCATGGCATCGGAGGGGAAACTGTGGCCTACTCCAGTGGGGGCTTCAATTCGGGCTTCATTAAACTCTGGCAGCTGGCTGCCGGATCGCGTGCTGGCCATGAGAACCCCTTGAGCACATCGCAAGTGGCTCGCGACGGCGGTGATGCAACTCCCTCCTGGGGGTTCGTTTCGCGGCTCCGATCTTCCTCACTGACGGGTACCCGGCCGATGGCCGGGGAGCCCATCGGGGGAGGCGCAAGTGGCGATGCCAGTAGTCGAGAGATTTCCTTCACGGCGGAGCCCGCCCGCCCGGGCCCGAGCCTAGCCACTCGTGATCCGGTGACATCCTCCTCCACACTTGGCACCTGTCGAACCATTGTCACTGGCCATCGTGATGGGTCCCTGCGGCTGTGGGAGCCCCTTGCTCGGGCTGCGGCGGCCAGCTCGGGTCCCCCCTCCCGCGGACCTTCTCCCTCTCGAGCGGCGGCCAACTTCGGCACCGGGCCCAACTTCACCACTCAGTCGCAGCCCCGGGCCGAGCTCCCCGGGGCGCACGCTGGTCCGGTGGCCGCGCTTGTGTACGTACCTCGCCTGCCTGCCTTTGGCATCTGCCCACCCGCCTGCCTGCCCCGCTTCCCTTCCTCCCCTCTTTATCCGGCAGGTAGCCCCCC